GCAGCACACTGAGGAGTCCCAGTGGCTGCTGACGCTAAACTACCCTGAGCTACTCCTGCTGCTGCTGCAGTTTCAGCTCCACCGAGAGCAGCTGCTCCCTCCAGAGCTGCTCCTAAAGCAGCCCCACCTGCCATGGTGCATCCCACACCGGCCGCCACCCCGACTGCAGTGGCCCCTATGATACTAACCTGGCTGAGGGCATCTAAAGCACCTTCTGCAGGACTGGAAGCCTCAGCGCTAGCAATGGCTCCAACAGAACTACCCAGAACTCCACCTGTTGCTGCGCCCAGAGCCACTGCAGTTTTCCCCGAGGCTGCTGCCACTATGGCGCCCACGGCGTTCCCCACACCTGAGCCTCCCGCCACAGACATCCCAGCTAACTGAGCTGCAGCAAAACCAACCGAGTTCCCAACAAGAGATGCCCCAGCTGCGGCTGCCAAAGGGGCAGCCGCTCCAAAAACTGCCCCAACTGCCATGCCAGTGGCTCCAGCAGCCACCAGGACCTTAATTCTCTCCAGCACCTTGGGAGAGAGCGCGGCTTCCCTCCTGAAACGAATTAGTGATGACCGGACAGATGGCCGCCGGCTGACAGCTCTGCCATGGCCCCGATGTCGGCCTCTGATCTGGTCTCTCAGCAGGCTGAAAGGACTGCTTCTGCTCTCCTTTGCCCATCTCTCCACCCTAAGATCATCTTCACTTCCTCTTTCTACCCCTTTCCTCTGGAGCTCTTGTAATCCTCTCTCGCTGCTTCCTGCTATGTCAGACTCTAAAACACATTTTCTTCTTTTTGCAAGTTTAGCCCCCTCTTCCGTTCTGCAGTTACTTCCTTCTTGGTCTTCACCCTCTGCTTGCCCTCGCTCTCGCAACATCCTATTCTGCTCCTCCCTGATTGCAGCCTCTGCCTCTAAAAACATGGTGTTAGTATAAAACCCTCCGTTACTCTGCCTCACCATACTGTCTACCTTCACCAAGAGCTCTTTAACCTGTGCTGTGTTACTGGGGTCTTTGTTGTTGAGCACATGGTACCTAC